GGGGGAGGTTTCTATTCAAAAACTAAATCTTACCCATAGATATCTAGAACACCAATAAATGATTGTCGTTGTCCAATATATTCTAATGATTTATTTATTTCATCAACAATCCATCCAAATAATTGTGCATAAATATGTTTTGCAAGAGCATCTCAAGCAAATAATGCCTAAGAAATTATTAAAAACTTTTGTTTTTATGAGAATAAAAATGACTTTTTTTGCTTTTTTACTTGATTTATATTTGATGTTGTATTAACAACTGCTACACCAGTTTTAATTCTCTTATTACATAACCATGTTCTCATTCGATTTTCATCCAATTTTAAAAGTGAACAAAATATTGAAAATGATTTATCAGATTCTTTTACATATGATAATTCACCATCACCTTCATTAATAATTACATTTCCCAAATGAAGAATTGATGATAATAGACGAAATATTGTCATTTGAACTTTATTTTCAATACCTATTTATATAATTATCAATAAAATATTAAAGAAAACAAAAAAAAAAGAAACAAACCAAAAAGAGTTAATGCTTCACGTGTTTCTAAAAATTGTTGAGCATCATCAACACCTTTTATTGTTATTGCATTTCCTTCAGATGTATATCGAAATTGATTAGCCGGTACTAAATTTTATAAAAATATATTTCTCAAATATAAAAAGCAATAAAAGATTAATGGGTAATTCTCCACTCTTTCTCCTTGATGTCATAACTTCCTAATTACTACTTTGTCAATAGAGATTCCCTGGAATTTCGTTAATTGGACTGACATGTATTATATATTGACATTGTTTTATGACAATTGCTGAAACTGTATTGTATTTTCGTCAATACATCCTCTGAAATTTTGCTAATCGTCGAAAGTACAATGAATTTTCACCATTGATGAATATCCTGTTGGCGAAGTTCTGATAAAATCCTAGAATTCGGTTCTTTTCTTCTTGTTAAATTTTAGTCATAATTAGAACATAATCAGTGAATATATGGATGATGAGTAAGACAATGTTAATAAAGAAAATAAATATGAATAAACTTACATAAAGCAAGAGATTTCATTTCGGGTTGATTAAATTGTGTACATAATTGATAAAATATATGATCATTTCGTTCATCCGGTGCTTGATAAACAACTCTATAATAAAAAAAAACGTTTTTTTTTGTACTTATCTTTGAAATGAATAAATTTTGATAATACCTTGATTTTTCTAATAGATAAGTTCTCATAGATGCACCACAAATATGATATTTTAAAAAACCAATTTCAATATATTTTCCAAATCGTGATGAGTTATCATTTCTTATTGTTTTTGCATTTCCAATTGCCTTTTATTTATTTCAAACATATTTCTTCGTATTTATTTACTAAAAACAAAACCTTCTACTTACTTCCATAATTGGACTTGATGCTAAAACTTTTTTTCAATTTGTGTTTCTTCTAATAATTCACCAACATTTGCAAAATATCTCATTGCATATTTAGCACTAACAGTTTTTCCTGCTCCTGATTCACCTGAAACAATAATTGATTGATTTTTCATAAAAAGTCACCATTGATTGATAAGCTAATTCAGCTGTTGCAAATATATGTGGTTCTAATAATTGAATATCTTGATCATGATACAATTGAATTGCATCATTTCCATAGATAGATAAATATTCATAAAGATTTATTGTAACTAAGACAATTCCACATTTTGTATAAATTTGAGATTTATTAAAACGAGATTCAAGATTATATAAAACTAAAATATATTTTTGTTTTATAAAAAAAAAAGTCTAACAATTTTCTTTTGATTTACCTTCAGGTTCATTTAAATAAGATAAAGCAGTAAGATCTTTTTGACCAATGAGAATCTCTGGATTACGCAATAATGGAAGATCAGAATCATTTTCATTTGTAATTATTTCCTATTTATATTTTCATTAATATTTTAAATTATTTCATTTTGTCTAAGCTTACATTTCTTCGTTCTACTGATGTTACTTCAAGTTGTTCTTTACCATTATAATTACTTGCAACAGTTACTGCACACCAAAAATGTTTATGATCTGGTAATCAAACTCGTGCACCCTAAAAACAAACAAATAAAATCAATTTTCTTTTATTTATTAATTTTTCAATGAAAAAAAAATGAAGCAGATTCCTCTATTGCATTATTATGTCTCCAATATCTATGCTGTATAATCATACAATATAAACTAAATAAATAGCACAACACACATGAAATATTCGTACAAACTATACAAACTTGAAAAGAATTGATTGACTCGACTAATAGAAAAGAAAATAAATGAAACAAACAATAGCGAATAAGAAACTGAAAAATTTTTCTCTTTAAGAAAAAAAGAAAACCTTAAGCATGAATGAGATTAATATCTTCAAAAAATTCTTAGAACTGGAAGAAATATAATAACAACAATAATGAACAAGACAAGAATATATCTTATTAGATAAAAACATACCTTTGTATATAATTGTCGAATAGACATAATTCAGGATTATTTTAAATACTTTAATATTACCAAGACATTCAAAGATTAAACACAATACGTCGAAGTAATTTAAATCTAGAAAATAATTAAACTTTTTTCTTCAATACTATATCATATTTATATAAATTCTCTATCTGACAGTTTTTATTCGAAGAAAATTACAGAGACAAATAATTTCAGAGGAAAAATTTTTTTTTTTATCTTTTTCTTTTTCTATTAATTGCATCATCAAGAACATTGGTTATTTCTTGAATTTTTGGTGGTAACATTTGTTTTGTTTCATTGATAATTAATCGATCATAATCTTGAAGAGTTGTTCGTTCCAATAATAATAAAATTTTTTTTTGTCTTTCAAATTTTCTTATTTGTTGTTTCATACTTTCATGATGATGATGATTATTATTTGATAAAACTAAATGTATTGTTTATTACCATCATTCGATTTATCGACATTAGAAGAATCATCATCATCATCGTCGACATCAGAAGAAGAATCATCATCATTATCGATATCTTTGATGGTGGAGGATGTGGGTTGTGACAACCAAATGAAAAATTTTTTTGTTGATTCAATTAATTGAATGTGATCATTTTTTTTTGCTGGATTTGGTCTTCTTAGCCAGTTCCAAAATACTTCTTCCTTTACACACTCTTCATCATAAAATGTATCGAACAATTTCAAAACCATTCCTACAAATAGAAGAAGGTGGTAAATGGAGAAAGTTTCAATTTGAAAACTTTTATGACAATTTACCATGTGGATGTTTCAATTCGATTACAAATTGTTGTGTTGTGTAAAGTGCTTCAATTTGTTTTTCTTCATCGGCAGCAAGAATATTTTGTATAATTGGAGCTTTATCTCGTGCATTGTATTGATCAAAACCAATAATACTTTTTGGATTAGAATCAATGACACACGAATGTAAATAAGATAATATAATATTTCTAATATATTTTGGATCCGATGGATTCATTGTCTAAAATAAACAAAGACATCTTATAGAACTAAGAGTAGATGTACTGAAATCTAGAGCATAGTTGGACTCGATTAAGATATGATAAATTTTTCCGGTTTAGTCTATGTATTAGAATTGCACTTCAAACAGGAAAAAAATTATAAAAACTGAGGAAAAATCAAGGAAAATTTTTCAAAATCCAATTAGAAAAAAAAATCTTTTTCAGATAGAAAATGATTTGAAGACACATACAAAAGATATCTCACTTAACAAGTCTGTTAAGTCAAAGTTTAGATCAAGTAAAGAAAATAATATTTGCTTTGAGTATCTTTTGATTTATTCTGATAAAAGAAGGACATGGTGCTAAAGTTGTAACTGATGAAATACCGATCTCTACCAACACGGGTAACTTTTTCAATTGATCCATTCAGATTAGTAGCAGTTTATTGAATTAATTTCCGTGCTGAATTGAAATTAGAACGTAATGCACTTACTTCTCGAATATATTGAAAAATTTTTTCTTCTTGTATATTCGAATCTGTTTGTTGTTTATTGATCATACGGAATAATTCAATCAAGTTCATATCTAAAGAAGCCAAATATGTTGAAGATGATGATGCTGAATGTAATACAGCAACATCTTTTCCAGCAGTAGATGATGGTGATTGTGTAACTAATCGTTTTATTTCATCATCTTCCGTTGCAGCAGGATTTAATAACGAATCATTAGTGATAAATGCTGATGATGTTGTTCTTGATGTTTCTAATTGGATTTCTTCTCCAACAGGATTGTTCATGAGCCACTGGTAAACATGTGAATGTTTATCCTTATCTAAACGTTTGTTTAACAAATCTTGTATATAATTTGTTGAATAATGAAAATCTGCATCAGTTAATAAAAACTCCTTTTGTTTTTTCTTGGCCTCTTCAAAAGCACTATAACAATGTAATGCTAACATTCTATGATATGGTCGATTACGATTTTTGAAAAGTAAAGGTGCTTGATGAATATCTCCAAATGTATGTGACGACACTGTTGTAATTCGTTGTGATGATATTGTTTTATTTAATAAGAATATTTTTAATTGACCATTTTCTTTAATTATTGTTAAATATTTTTTATCAAATGCATGTTCGATTTCAGTTGCTAATCGTAAACAATTTCTGGGATGATTTGTATCGGATAAATTTAAACCAAAGAATTTCATATGACTTGATTTTGATTTTGGATATATATGTGCTGTTACTACTTGTCGAGATTTAGCTTTTATATAATTAAGAACCATCCACTGGTCTCGTTTTGGGGTGTGGGTGTGGGTGTGGGGTGTGGGTGTGGGTGTGGGTGTGGGGTGTGGGTGTGGGTGTGGGGTGTGGGTGTGGGTGTGGGTGTGGGTGTGGGTGGGTGGTGTGGGTGTGGGTGTGGGTACCCAGTCAAAATTTGCATCGGAAAAATGGCATTAAAACGATCTAAAATTTACATCATTATAATGGAGAAAAACTGTCACAAATAACCCTGTAAAATGCTTGCTGATGAGGCATTAAAATGATTAATTTGATGAAGTTAAAATGATTTAATGTTTACATAAAAATAATGTTTAGAAGTCAAACCATTTTTAGACATCACTCAATGTTCTCCAGTCCACCTGGTACTTGGTATTGCATTTAACATATCTTCAATATAAAGAACTTAAATCTTATTCATATATATATTTGTACTCAGCTGTAAGACACATATAACCACCAATAAACTTGCTTTCGATAACAATAATTTCTTGAGCAAAAGTACAAATGTATCTTATTTACTTCTTTATGATTGCAACAAAATTTAGTAGTCAT